AGGGGAGAAAACCATAACTATCTTCAGAGATACTGAAAAACCTTTGGGCAATTTTCAAAATCATGTCTGATAAAAACAGTCAAGAAAGTAAAAACGGATGGATACTTTCTTCAATGATAGGAAATACAGACACCTTAGTCCTATAGCTAACATCTTCATTACTGGAAAAATAGTATAGACATTTCTACCATGATTGAGCACAAGGAAGGATGCTCACTACCTCTGAAACTACTCAATACTATATTGATGGCATCTGTCAGTGTAATTAGCTAAATCAGAAGTGTAAGAATTGGTGAAGTAGAGCTGTATTTGTAGATGACAAGACAGTATGTAAACTTGAGAAATCGTAGCTAATAAACAGTAAAACTAACTCAAAGAGTAAAATTATCAAGTTAGCACAATACAGAATTAACATATAAACATTGATAGTCTTCACAGACAAACAATAACCAGTCAAAACGATGGGTGGGGGAGGCGGGACACTCCCTGGTGGCCTATGGGTTAAGTCTCATCCCTATCACCACTATGGCCTGAGTTCAATTCCTGACCAGAGAGCTGACCCACATATAACACAGCAGACCTCTCCTGTCTCACCCGCTGCTCCCCTTAGAAGTGTATTTCGTAAATCTGCCTGTTCTGCCCCCAACTCTGTCTCTGGAGAATGCTCTCACCTCCCCACACTCAAAATATAGTTTAAAAGAAAGCAGCAAAACTGGGGGGGGGAGGAAGACCAAACACACATTTACAAGGCAACAAAGAAGATATAAAGTACTTGTTCAGGAATAAACAAAAAAGGTGTCAAATTAAAAATTTTAGAAACTCCTGAAAGACATCAGCAAGAATTTAAATAAAACAGAAGTAAATCTCTCTTCTTGGTCAGAACTAAACATCTTAAAGATGACAGTTCTCTCCAAGTTAGTAAAAACATTTAATAAAATCCCAATAAATATATCAACAAAGCATTTTTGGAGCTAGACACTGATAATCAATAGTTCATACAGAAAAATATGAAAGAAAAAAACACTGTAAGAGAGAAACTACAACGACAGAATAATCCAATCACAATGTTTTAACACATTCAAACATACTATAAAGCCTTTATAATTAAGCTAATATGGTAGCGCAAATGAACAGTGAAAGAATGGAAAATCCAAAAAGTAATAACCAAGTAAATGGAAAGTTTAAATATGACTAAGGTGTCTTCAAGAGTCACTGGAACAAAGAAAGCTTACTGAAAGTGAGAGACAACTGATTAGCTAGTTAGAAACAAGTAAAATTAAAACCCGTACCTCATAGCAAAAGAATGCCCTCCAAATAAATCAGATCCAAATAAATGCCAAAAAAAAAACCCTGAAACCATACAAGAAAAAGTGAATTTCTCTTTAATATCAGTGTAGAAGGCTATGATTCAAAATAGAGGCAATAAAAAATTATTAAATCTGATTACATAATAAAAGAAATGTTAGCAAAAAATAACAAGTCAGACAACTGGCAAATTAGGAGAATATATTTACAATATACAACAAAGGTAAAGCTCTAACATTCCTACTATATAAAGAGTTCTTAGAAAGCAAAGGGGAACAAAAAAACAAATCAATAGAAAAGAGGGAAACACACAATTTACAAAAAAGGTAAAATATAGTCCCGAAACATAAGTTACTCAATCTCATTCACAATGACGAAAGCAAATTAAACTCCACTGAGATGTGAAGTGGTACAATTCACCAGGATAGAAATTGACAGTATCTAACAAAACTGTATTTACATTTAACTTTTGACCTATTTATTCACTTTAGGAAGTTACCCTTAAAACAACTCCAACAATATGTTAATACAAACATGTACAAGATTAAGAGTACTGACTTCAGCACTGTCTTTAATGACAAAACGTTGGAAACAAAATAATTACTCAAACCTAGAAAAGGTGGTTGAATAAACACTGTGACACACGTGCAATGGAGTGCTATGCAGCTGTAAAAAACAAAATGAGTGAAGACCTCTATGAACTAACATGGACCATTTCTAGGATACATTTATGTAAAAGAAAAGGAAATAAAATATACGTGATTCTGCCATTTGTGAAGGAAAAAACCCCTCAAAACAGGAAGAATAAACCATGGGGGTGCAGGATAAATGAGAACAGGATAGAATGTGGAGAGTGGCACTTTTTAAAGATATTTTTGATAAATTTTTTCTTTTAGAATAATGTTGATGTTTCATAGCTGAATATATTACTAAATGAATCCAGTAAGGATAAGGTGAGAACCAAAAATGGAATAAGAGAAATGTGCCAAAAGGAAAAAAATAAATGTTTTATAAATGAATGATATCACCACAATTAGGGGGAAGTTGGGGAGAAAAGACCTAAAAAACTTTGCAAAATAGAATTTTTTTTTTTTTAAAGATTTACTTATTTATTTATACAAGCACTGGGTACAGTAAGAAGCACGGGAGGGTGAGAGAATTCACCAGAGCCAGAGCAGGGAACAGAACAGGCAGACTGATGAAGTACACTGCTGAGGGGAGCGGTGGGCGCGGCAGGAGAGGTCTGTGTGCCATGTGGGACCCTCACCAGCGGCCAGGGATCAAACCAGCGCTGCAGAGGCTGCGGGCAGCTTCATAGCCCAGAGCTCAAGCGCTGCGCCACCGCGGAGGCCTCAGGAAAAGTTTTTTTTTTTTTTTTAAAGATTTATTTCTTTACACAAGCACTGGGTACAGTCAGAAGCGCGGGAGGGTGAGAGAATTCACCAGAGCCAGAGCAGGGAGCAGAATAGGCAGAAGGACCGAAGTACACTGCTGAGGGGAGCAGCAGGAGGCAAGAGAGGTCTGCGTGCGATGTGGGACCCTCGCCCAGCAGCCGGAGATCAAACCGGCGCTGCAGAGGCTGCGGGCAGCTTCGCAACCCAGCACTCAACAGCTGCACCACCAGGGAGGCCCAGGAAAACAGAATTTTAACTATATACTCTAGGTTAAAGACAAAAACTATATATACACAGCAGTTAACAAGTTTGTTTTTCACATATGACAAGCTAACAATTCCAAAGTTACTTTGCATATTCTAGAAAATAAGTGACTTATTATCCATGACAAAATTATGGATAACAAGAATACAATTTCTCAAAGAAAAGAATAACAAAAGAAGGAATGCTAGAATGAACACCATGGTGTTGAACCGGAATTGGAAAAAAGGAATATGATTTCATGATTATTAATATATATATACATACAGGAAACAAAAAAAATGTGTGTATCTGTAGACATATGTTCCCTATCTCAGTTCACTGAGAAGGCCTACAAGTAATGACATCGTAGCATCAATAAGTACACCTACAGTTGGAGTCTGGTTTCTAAACATTGTCTCCAATGTAAAGTAGAGCACCTTAGACAACTGGCTGATTTCATGCCTCAGGCAGGGGAAGTATAAATCCAGAATATCTTGTGATGACAGAAAGTAAAGATGACCTCAAAAAATAATGGAGTCATGTCAAAAGGATATAGAAATCAACCTGAAAGAACTTCCAGTGGCCAAATTTGAGACAACTTTAGCAACAAAATGATTTAAAAAAAAAAAAAGACTACATAGTATAAGAATCCATACATACATCCAAACTCATGTAAATATTTAGAGGGAAGAAGTCCAACTGATAAATGTAGATGGGATGATGGAAATAAAAAATCATTTGGCAAACTACTGTAATAATTATTTCAAACAAGAATTATTTATGGATGTTGAAATTAGTGGAACACTGTATGATCAGAATATTTACACAGTCTCAAAGTATCTCCCCATAAGATAATTACATATTATAAAGAGGAAAAAAGTCAGCCATTTAATAGTGAGAAAATTTGACAGATACCATCTTAACCAAGGGATCAAAGTTTAGTGACTAGTAAGGAACAAATGACGTACCTCCAAATATAATACACCAAGGCCAAATAATTTAGGACTGTTATTTTTGCTAAAAAATGCCTAACCTACACTTAATCATAAAGAAATAAGAAACAGGCCTCCCTGGTGGTGCAAGGGGTTAAGACACAACCTATGAAGCTGTCCGCAGCCACTGCAGCATGAGTTTGATCCCTGGCCAGGGAGCTACCCAGATGGCGCAGCAGACCTCTTGTGACTCGCCCGCTGCACGCCTCAGCAGTGTATTTCAGTCAATCTGCCTGTTCTGTTCTCCACTTTGTCTCTGGTGAATCCTCTCACCTCCCACACCTCTGGCCTGTACCCAAGTTCTTGTATGCATAAATAAATCTTTAAGAAAAACTTGTTTTAAAAAAAAATAAGAAACTCGGGCCTCCCTGGTGGCGCAGTGGTTGAGCGCTGGGTTGCAAAGCTGCCCGCAGCCTCTGCAGCGCCGGTTCGATCCCCGGCTGCTCCCCGGCCGCCGGAGGAGGGTCCCGCATGGCGCGCAGCCCTCTCCTGCAGCCCGCTGCTCCCCTCAGCAGTGTACTTCGGTCCTTCTGCCTGCTCTGCTCCCCGATCTGGCTCTGGTGAATTCTCTCACCCTCCCGCGCTTCTGACTGTACCCAGTGCATGTATAAACAAAAAAACAAACAAATAAATAAATAATAAAACATGCCTCTATTAAATAAATAAAATAAATAAATAAATAAAAAAAAAGAAAAAAAAATAAGAAACTCAAATTGAAGGATAATCTACAAAATTACTGACAAAAACTAAAGACAATGTATAGCCCTAGAATGTATCTTAGAATAGAAAAAGGAAATCAGTAGGACAATTGGTAAAATTCAAATAAAATCTACAGGTTTAATAAAAGTAATGTTTATCTGATTTCCTGATTATATTCATGTTAATTTCTTAGTTAGCATAGTCATATGCTAGTTAGTTTCGATAGTCATAACAAAGCTATGCAAAATGTTAATATTTGAAAGTCTAGGTAAAGATTACACGGAATTCTTTGTATTTTTACAATGATTTGCCAGCTCTAAAATAATTTGAAGATGAAAAGTTTAAAACACATATATGCATATATAACCTAATACTCTGAAGCTCCCTTCTGGCCGACTCCTCTGCCATCTGCGAAGCCCGCAGCTTCTCTTCACACTGATCCTTTTCAGATTGCCTCCAGACGTCATTTTCCACTTTCATTTTCTCTAGCTCTGCTAATTTGGTTTCAAGTTCTAGCCTAAAAACAACAGATGATAATTATGTTTTGAGAACAATAAGGATGATATGACAGCAAAATATTTTCATCTGCAAGAAAAATTAATACAAAAAGAAGGTAAGTACTTACTTTTCATCTTGTAATACCACAAGTTTTTGATAACCCTCTTCTTTGGCAGCTTGTACCTTACGTATTAATTCACGATCTTTTTCTTCTAGAAGCACTTTGTGGTGTTCAACAGCTGATTTGAGAATTTCATTGTCTGTCTGTAACCCTGGTATTTTTATTTTTAAGGAGAAAAATACGTTAAAATGAAAAAAAATCATGACAGCAAGCATTCATAAATTAGTAAGGCAATTAAAAGAATGTACAAAGTAAGTCTCTCTGGACATATATTCTCAAAGACATTTATATTGTTGATATACTTTCCTTAAGAATAAAATAGACTATGGCCTCCCCAGTGGCACAGCGGTTGAGCACTGGGTGGCAAAGCTGCCTGCAGCCTCTGCAGCGCTGTTTCGATCCCTGGCCGCCAGGCAAGGGTCCCACATGGCGCGCGAGACCTCTCCTGCTGCTCCCCTCAGCAGTGTACTTTGTCAATCTGCCTGTTCTGCTCTCTGCTCTGGTGAAATCTCTTATTCTCCCGCACTTCTGACTGTACCCAGTACTTGTATAAATAAATAAAATAAATCTTTAAAAAAAAAAAAAGACTAAAACTGAATTAACTTTTCTATCATTTTATTTAGCACACACAAAACTTTAATAAAAGGTGATAAACTTTTACTCATTGAATCTTGAAATCCGAGAGTATCAATATGGAGGACATCCAAAGGTTCTTTAATCTACACCCCACAAACAGCATCATCATAAAGCTAGCTGGAAGCAGAGTGAATAAAATCATAGAACCCTTCAAAATCTAGTACTCCAGAATTATCAGATTTTTAGCAAAACTAGGGGCTGAGCGCAACACTGTGAAGCTGTCCGCAGTCTCTGCAGCGCGGGTGTGATCCCAGCAGCTGCGGAGATACCTACATGGCGCAGCAGACCTCTCCTATCTCGCCCGCTGCTCCCCTCAGCAGTGTGTTTCAGTCTGCCTATTCTGTTCTCCGCTCTGTCTCTGGTGAATCCTCTCACCCTCCCACACATCTGGCCTGTACCCCATTCTTGTATAAATAAATAAATCTTTAAAAAACTATAAATTGGAAACTTTCAAGTTAGCCCCCTGAATTCACAAATCTTCCTTATAATGAAATGACAAATATTTTGCAGAAGTCAAACTAAAACAAATTCATATCCTACTCAAAGTTAAAAAATAATGCAGAACTAGATCTCATACTTTAACTCTCTGAGAATATTTACTCCCTAATATATGGAAACCATGAGTAAACTGGCATAGATTCAAGCAGAAATTAACAAGTAAAAACATCAAGTAGAAAAGTAGAAACATCAAGTAGAGATCAAAAATGCAAACAATAATTCTTCATGAACTTGGTCTGAAACTACAGAGGTCATCCAGTTCAACTACAGCTAAATATGAAGATAATTACAAAGGCAACTTATCAAATACTTTTTATAAGTGTCAGAAATAATATATTTCTGTGAAATGTTGTTGAGAAGGATATTCTAAGCCTAAACTAAGCTTAAAATAAGACCTGGCTGACTTAGGTTCCAGTCACTAGTCTAGGGCCTGTGTAAAGATTAATTTTAAGATTAATTTTTATTTAAAAATTGTGCCTGGAACCACCTATCTTTTCTATATCATTGTAGACTTAAAATAGCCTGGGATCAAAAACCAAATGATCTAAATAAATTTAAAATTATAAACCCAGAAGTATAGAATCCCCTTTGAAATTTCAATCTATGTACTAAATAGCTATAACATAAACTTAAGATTTTTTAAATTATATCACAGAATGAACATTTATATATAAACAAAAAAAATGCTCTGCTTTAAGATTAAAATTCTATCAAGCCAAAAATCTGGAAATAAAAATTCAGTTTGATCTATTTTACTAATTTGAATTTATACCTAAAAATAATAGTCAAAAGCAGGAAAATTCATATTACCATCCAGTTCAGTTTGAATCTTATTTTTTTCTCTTTCTAGCTCACTCTTAGCTCTTGCTGCCTCCAGTTTGATGTCTGTTATTTCTAGCTTGTTTGAATGCTTCAGTTCTTTCACCTGTTAATTAGAAATTGAAACTATATTAGTCATTTTTTCACCATTAAGTGATTATCCAAAACCATTAACAAATATGAGTAAACACTTTGGCAGCACAGTACAGAGTGTAAGCACCTTTCTTCCTACAAGTTTATACTTTGAGCATATATTGGCACAGAACTGAGAATAGTACTTAGCACCAAAAAACCCCAGTATTTTCCTAATAGAAATGAGCCATTTCTTTATAAATATTTGAAATCATCTGGCTTAATCTTGCCTTGAAAGGCTTAACTCTAAGTACTTGAAATTCAATAGTCAATGACTGAAACATCTTTAGGGAAAAAAAACTGAAGTCTTTCTTATAAGAAGTATTGGGGGCAAGAAAACATTTTAAAGTATAAGAAACAGCATTTAGGGGCCTGGTGGCACAAGGGGTTGAGATGCAATCTAGAAGCTCTCCGCAGCCACTGCAGCACAAGTTCAATCCCCAGCTGGCTGGGGAGCAACCCACATGGCACAGCAGACCTCTCCTGACTCTCCCAATGCTCCCCTCAGCAGTGAATTTCAGTCAGTCTGCCTGTTCTGTTCCCCCCGTCTGTCTCTGGTGAATCCTCTTACCCTCCACACCTCTGGCCTGTACCCCAGTTCTTATATACATAAATATTTAAAAAAAAAAAAAAGAAACAGCATTTAAAATGTTATATAGGTGTAACATCAGAAGGTCTGTTTAAAAAACAATGTGTAATACATTATTTTAAGTAGAAGAGAAGTATGAAATCTGTGGAATGACAGGGAATAAAATGCCCATGTCATATAAAAGGCTTATCTTATTAGCTACTAAGGTGGCACAATCAACTCTCTTTCAGAAAGTTAACTGCAAATGTGTTAGATTAAGAAACTGAAGGCAAATAAACCAATTCAGAGGCAAAAATTAACAAAAAGACAGAAAAGAAGATTCAATTTATTTGGGTGACTAATGTGCATGTGTATACTTGGTTGGAAAGAGATTTTAAAAAGTATTATTTACTTTACTGCCAAAACTTAGCCTTTTTAAAATCCTGAATGAATGCAACTATTATGACTTTCCATGCAGTTAACTCATCACATGCCCATTTTCACTCTTCTCTTTTTTGAAAGGTGACTATTCCTAGTTAATAAGCGGTACACCCTTCATTCATTCAATAAATATTTGTTAAGTCCCTATTTATGTGATAGACATTATTTCAGGAATTGTGCAGCAAATGAGAAAGCTTTGTCTGGTCAATCATCTTCACTCCTCTACCATTTTCTTTATCTCTTCCCTTGGTAAGGTGCTTCTAAAATTAGATACAGTACCATAAAGAGAATTTGACCAATACAGATATAAAGATAAACCTGCATTCTGACATATTAATATATAAAACTATGATATCAGAGTAAAAAACAACCAATATATACAAACCAAATACGTAAAATGTGAAATGATGGGAACAAGGGAATAAAGGATAATTTCAATCCAATAAAACCCTACAAAAACTGCAGTTGGCAATTGGAAACAAATTGGAGAAAGATCCTAGAGTCAAAGATGGCAAGGACAAATAGAAATGTCTTAAAGATACTCACAAAAAAAGAGTCCATCTGTGAAAGATCTTGAAAATGTTGCAAGGAATGGTTGGTGCAAAATCCTCACTTAAAGGAAACATAGAAAAGCAAGCACTGTATTTTGCTAACCACACTAAGATGCATTCCTCCAAATTAACTGCAGGTTTTTAAATGACGCTGCATAAAATGGATACCTTGTGCTGACACCAACACTGCATTTTTAAAAAATCTTTTCTGTATTTTTTTTTTAGTATTTTGCTTATACAAGAACTGGGGTACAGGCCAGATGTGCGGAAGGGTGAAAGGATTCACCAGAGACAGAGCGGGGAACAGAACAGGCAGACTGAAATATACTGCTGAAATGCACTGAAATACGGAGCAGTGGGCAAGACAGGAGAGGTCTGCTGTGACATGTGGGTTGCTCCGCTGCCTGCGGGGATCGAACCATTGCAGAGGCTGCGCACAGCTTTACAGCGCTGCACTCAACCACCTGCGCCACCAGGGCGGCCCTGCAGTTTTTACCTATGAAAACAAATCTCATAAAACAAGGTTTAAATACACAAAATCTGCCGAGATTATATTTAATACTTAAATTTTCTACAGATTGGGTTTTATTACATTATAATTTCATGAACTGAGAATTTAAACTCTAAATGCTTTAAAATTTTGAAGAAACAGATACAATGAAAATCCAATCTCTATGGCAAATGTAACTATAACCTGCTATTTTATACTAACTGCAAAAGGTTAAGAATGACATTGCAGGTCATTAACAAACCACACTGTAGCTACTTTAAATATGAGGTGGAAAATTGGAGCCATCTTATTTTATAGAACGTTGATTCATTTCAACAAAAAGGAACTACAAAATAAAAATCTATCTCTTTAACTCATTCTACCCTGAGATTTATTTAAAAGAGGAAAATTTTTTAACTAAATATAATTATTTAAACTGAAAGAATAGTGGACATGAAGTCAAGGAAATGAGGCCCATCTTCAGGTCAACTTTTATTATTAAACTACGAGTATGTGCTCAAGCCAGGGACTTATCCTCTCTGTACTTAAATTTACTGGCCTATGGACTTAGAAGGTACTTTAAGTTTTGCTTTAATGTCACACTGCTACAATCATAAAATAATGAATGTACTTAATACTAACAGTTAACTTCCTAAAAATGTTAAGAGAATAATCAAAAATTAAACTAATACAAATATTCATTAACTAGATATAACAAATAGCAGCACTTCTTGTGAATAACTGGAACTAAATTTCAAGCAGTCATAATAAAGTCTCTGCCTCTATATCCTCGGTTCTTAATCTTTTTTTATCAGGCCTCAAAAATCTTTAAGAAAACTAGGAGTCGAGCTTCCCTTGGTGGCGCAGGCTGTTGAGCGCTGCGCTGTGAAGCTGTCCACAGCCTCTGCCACACCGGTTCAATCCCAGACAGCAGGTGAAGGTCCCACATGGCACAGCAGACCTCTCCTGTTGCGCCTGCTGCTCCCCTCAGCAGTGTATTTCGTCAGTCTGCCTGTTCTGTTCCCTGCTGTCTCTAGTGAATCCTCTCACCCTCCCACGCATCTGGTCTGTACCTCGGTTCTTGTGTAAATGAATAAATAAATCTTTAAAAAAAAAAAAAGGAAAACTAGGAGTCTTTTCCTAACTAAAACGCACAATGTTAAAATACTGATATAATTTCAACACATAATCTTTGGAAGTCCTATGTGCCAAGGTAAGCCTTCTTTTTTATTCTATATTCACAATGTATTTTCCATGTAGATTATATAATCTTTATATACTGAACTTGCTTTATGCTTTTTGCATACAATAGGAACAAGTATTCACAAATTACTACCTGGTCCTACCAATAAAACTTTAATAAATGGAAAAAAGGGCAATAGGCACTTTATAGTTTCAGAATCTGTAAGGTTGTGTGTGTATATATATATATATATATATCTCCATACACAAAGCATATTAATTAACTTAGCTAATATAGATTAACTGTGGGGCGGTTATCTTAAAATGTATATTTTATTGGCGTTCTGAAGTAATTAGATTTCATTAAATGTGAAATGTTTTTAAGGTTGTCATATTAACCCATCTTCAATAGAACTTTTAAATCCAAAACACTGGTAGTCACACTAACATAACTTGATTCTAAAACTTAAACATTCCAAAAACTTGTATAACTTAGACAAGACTACCCCAGGTGTTCCTTTGCATTGCGAACACCATTTGCCAGAACTGCAAAATGTTGATGAAAATTTCAAGTTGCAAAGAAAACTGTGACAGTCAGGTTTGAAATATTTGAAAATTTATCCTTCCAATAAATCTTTTTACATGGAAGATTTCAAAGAGAAACTTGAAGATTGTTTTTTTTTAACTCCATTTATATGCAAAGTAACAAGCAGAGAAATAAATACTATACTAAATTGCTCTTCTTCCTTCAGCAGTGTGGGAGAATTACCAATACATTAATTCTGCAAAAGAAAGAGCAACAGAGTATGCACAGAAAAAGAAAAAAAAAATCAAGGTCAAGACACAATTGAGTCAAGGACAGGTAACATGTGCAGCAAATAAAGTATGTGGTGGTCACCAAGAGAGTTAAGCCTCAACAATAACCAGCTCATGTACTGTCCTGTGGGTCCACCACATTCAGATCATTCCTGCACTCCAGTATGGGTACTCAGTTCCAGAAGAATGTTATGAAAATAGTGAGTACTGGGTTTTGTTTTGTTTTTTTTAACAAAACTGAAAGTAATTTACACCACAACAACAAGCATCAAAGAACTCCTATTATCCTGCATTTAATTCCATGTGTTCTGTTTTTCTTTGCATACTCTTATCACTGTAGGCATTCATCTGTGTATGTTGAATTTCCTACAGTTACTCAAGAAAGAGCCAAATTATTTTCTAGTAGGACTTAAACAATCTTAGTAGGCTGGGAGGGCTCATATAGATCAACTGGAAGAATGCCTCATTTCACCTATGAGGAAATTGGATGGTGATTATCAAGTAACTTGCCTTACACAGTTATTGAAACAGTAAAGAACAAAACTAGTCAAAGAACTCAAAATTTTTTATTCTATATGTTACATTATGTGCCCATTTAAGGATATCACTAGATTATAATCGTTGCCATTATCATTTTCATCGCCAGTTAAAAAAATCATGATTGGCATTATCCTCATTTAAAAGTTAAGCAAACCAGAAATCACACAGGTGCTAAGTGAAATGAAAGTGTCAGACTTCAAAGATAGATTCACCTGAGTCAAAGTCCAAGAACTTTTCCACAATATTTTATGACCTCTTCTAAAATGAATTTTTAATACTAAAAATATCTGAATTCTTGGGCCTCCCCGGTGGCGCAGCGGTTGAGCGCTGGGTTGTGAAGCTGCCCGCAGCCTCTGCAGCGCCCGGTTCCATCCCGGCTGCTCCCCGGCCACCGGAGGAGGGTCCCACATGGTGCGCAGACCTCTCCTGCCGCCCGCTGCTCCCCTCAGCAGTGTACTGCGGTCCTTCTGCCTGCTCTGCTCCCGGCTCTGGCTCTGGTGAATTCTCTCACCCTCCTGCACCTGACTGTACCCAGTGCTTGTATAAATAAATAAAATAAATCTTTAAAATAAATAAATAAATAAATAAAAATATCTGAATTCTAACCAATAAGCTAGAAAAATATACTTGAAATAATATTTTAATTAAAACTCTTAAATTGTCTAATTTTCAATTATTTTTTCTAGGTCTACCATTTCTAAGTAACTAATTAGATAACTAAATAATGTCTAATTAGCTTAATAAAACCCTGCTACAAAACCACACTTAACCTATACAGTACAGAAAACAAAAAATTTAAATGTCTCTTGGGCCTCCCCGGTGGCGCAGCGGTTGAGCGCTGGGTTGCGAAGCTGCCCGCGGCCTCTGCGGCGCCGGTTCGATCCCCGGCTGCTCCCCGGCCACCGGAGGAGGATCCCACATGGCGCGCAGACCTCTCCTGCCGCCCGCTGCTCCCCTCAGCAGTGTACTTCGGCCCTTCTGCCTGCTCTGCTCCCCGCTCTGGCTCTGGTGAATTCTCTCACCCTCCCGCGCTTCTGACTGTACCCAGTGCATGTATAAACAAAAAACAAACAAATATATAATAAATAAATAAATAAAAACATGCCTCTATAAAAAAAAAAAAAAAAAAAATTTAAATGTCTCTAGATATATAATCTTCAAACATAAAATATGTGTTTGCTTTGGAAAAACTGAGTACACAACCTCCCCAAACCATCTTTATACCTAATATTATGGTTTTGGCATTTCAGGCAGAAAAATCCAATTTTGTCATGATACTTAAGACTGTCAAGGTTACATTCACATTGTAGACAGTGAAGTTTATGAAATCAGAATGCAAGTTTACCAACTATGAGAAAAAACTATCATGGAAACTAGAATACTTAAGTCTGAAGGACCAGTGCATCCTCTACCTATAGTCAAAATTACATGAGGATTTAATTAACAGAGGTTGCTTGGCGATCATGGAATCAGAACAAATGGAATGAGGTAAATTGATCATCTCATGGCCACAAATTACAATAGATTGGCATATTCCTGTGCACAGTAGGAATGACCTTTTCAGTGGGAGGAGAACTATTCAATTCTACTGGCTAAAACTCATTCTTCTCCCTGTCATGATCACTGCTTGAGTCTTCTCAAGTGATTCCTTGGTCAAGGAATTTATGATGAAGACATTAATCCTTACATAATTCATGTAATTTTACCGGGCCAAAACAATTCCCTTGGGCCTGGAAGCCATCTTGTTTGTAAGGTAATTTTATCTAAGTTTGGTTTTGGTCTAATAGAAAACACAACGATTTCAATGATTCAGAAACCAGTCTTATTTCTAAGTTCTTAGAGAGCTCCAGATACTACTACTACTAATACCTGGGTAATACATGGATGGTTTAAGATTTATTTTTGCATACAAAAACTGGGGTACAGGCCAGAGGTGCATGGGGTGATGGGATTCACCAGAGACAGGGTGGGGAACAGAACGGGAAGACTGACTGAAATACACAGCTAAGGGGAGCAGTGAGTGAGACAGGAGAGGTCTGCTGTGCCGTGTGGCTAGCTCCCTGGCTGGAACTCGTGCTGCAGAGGCTGAGGATAGCTTCCCAGTGCTGTGCTTAACCCCTTGAGCCACCAGGGAGGCCCGGATGGTTTTATTTTAAGCCTGTGTTAAATGTTTTATTCATAACATTTCATTTAATCTTTGCCACAACTCTTTAAGATAGGTATTAGTCTCATTTTATACAGGAAAACACTTCAGTTTTCAGAAAGAAAGTAAATTGCCTAAAGTCACATAGCTAAGAGAAAAAATGGAATTTGAATCCAGTTTCTCCGACTTCAGTGCTGATATTCCTATTCACTATTTATTCTGTAAATAGTTTTATCATTGCTATTCTATATTTGTGGTTACTGAAACAAAAACCCCTGTAAGTTGCTAAGAAAAACTGTGCATTAAACAAGTTCAAATCCTTATATTCTTCAAAAATAACATAAATACAGATCATGCTAACACCAATATACTCATTTAACAAACATTCTATGAGTATCTACTGCATGCCAGCACTGTTCCGGGAATAGAAGATAAATCAGTACTGAAAGCAATGTCCTTGCTTTCATGGAGCTTATAATTGGAGATGGGAAAGAGAAAGACAAAAAAATACACAAATATATCAGATGTGTTAAGAGTTATGCAGAAAAATAAAGCAGGTAAGGAAGATAAAGAGACTAAGGCAGAGGATAAGGGGGGGATGGTATTTTACAAAACAAGGAGGAGGTAGGAAGTCATGTAAATATATGAGGGAAGACAATGCCAGGCAATCAAGTTTTGTAAAGGCCCTAAGGTAGAGTTGGACTTCTCAAATAAGAGTGAAGAGGCCAGTGAGGCTGAAACAAAGTGAACAAGAGGGAATGAACTGTAATGGCTATGGAAAGATTGCAGAGGCCAGATCACAATGAGATTTGAATGGTTACAAAGTAAAGCAACCAGTTAGGCAGCTACTGTAAAATCTGAGCTTAAAGAGATTATGGTTTGGACTTAGAATGGTTACAGAAGTGGTAAGACTAGTCAGATTCTGCATGAATTTGGACGGTAAAAATGACAGGATAAAAGAGATTTCAATATAGAAACCTAAACTACTTAGATATAAAATTCTTTGTCTTTATACAATGAAAAGCATTTTAAAGAATGAAGTAGAGATGGAAGATAACTTACATTACTGGTCAGCGTATTTACGTCTTGTTCAGCTTTATGCAGTTTACTGATTAAAACAGTATTCTGTTCATTGCTTGATTGTAGCTCTTTTTCCATGCGTTCAGCCTGCAGTTTAGCTGACTGTTTTTCTGCCTTTTATGAAAAAATATTTTTAAATTTCTAAATAATTTTTTACAATCATATCAATAAAATAAGCACTATTTAAAATACAAATATACTACTACTATCCAAAATCATTCAAAGCCTCAAAAATATTAACAAGTACTGAAGTAACGAGAGAATTTTTGCAAACTGGTAGAACTCAAACCAAAGATACTGGAGTGTCAGAATAGTTCTGACTTATTTTTTGTTTTTCCAAGGTCATTTATTTATACAAAGAATAAAGATCAATCAATGATATATTGCCTATTTTATTCAATGACCTGCCATCTTTCAGTGAGCTTCATCATTCCTTATTCATAGAAGGACCTGTCTTTATTGGTGAAAAACTGAACAAGGTGCTGATTGACAGTCTCATCTGAAGTGAACATTATACCATGCACGGAGTTTTAAAGAGAACAAAACAAATAAAAGACTGATGGCACATGGTCAGGTGAGTGTGGTGGGTATGGCAACACATCCCATCCAAGCTCCAATAATTTTTGATAGGTGATCAAACATGTGTGATCTCACGTGGTCATGATGGGACACAACTCCTTTACAATTAACAAACTCTGGATGTTTCTGGACTATGGATTTGTTCAAACTGTCCAACTGCTGAGAGTACACACTGGAAGTGATTGTTTGGTTCCTTGGTAGGAGCTTGTAAAACACACCACTTTGAAAACCCCACCACACTGAGAGCATAACCTTCCTCTGATGAGTATCTGCTTCGATGTCCACTGAGGTGAACCAAAGTGTTTACAACAAACTGTTGTAAACAATCCACTTAGCATCAGTTATCAGTCACTTCAAAGAAGGATCATTTTCCTCGTGTTTAATAAGCATGTTGAAGATGTTCATACACACCATCAAATGAACTTCTTTGAGTTCCTGAGGAACCCAAATAATGAGCTTGCTTAAGTTTCCTAGCTTTGTTTCAGGTGGTCACGAATGCTTTAATTATGGATGTTCGATGTTTCTGCAACCTCTTGTGTCGTGTAACGTGGGTTTGACTTGATCAATGCCTTTATTTTGTCATCCTCATCATTGGTGGGTCTCCCTGACCCTGAACATCACTGAGATCAAAATCACCAGCACAGAATTTCGTGAACCATTGTTGGCAGTGATTTTCTTTTATAGCACTGTAACCATAAACTTTATGAAACTTTTCACGAGCTTGACGCACGTTCTTCCCTTTACGGATGGAAAAGAGTAAAATATGGCGAAAATGCAGTTTGCTCTTCTTTCTTCAACATGTTATAAAATGTCCAAAACTCAACCAAATCACCCAATTTTTTTCTTACACTGAAGCTAGACCTATCAACTGTCAAATGACTACCAATAACATAGATGCAAGTAACTCTCATACTTTCAAAATGAACTAGTGCCATCTGTCGCAAAAAGTCGCCATGACTTTTTCAACAACCCAAAATTTGTTCCAGAAAATATTCAACAAAGGGATCTGTTGCATATCAGCAGTCGCCAACATATACTTCTCTCATAAGAGTACCTGATGTGTTCACTTGAGACCAATTTATTCTTATTGCTAACACAATTTGAACAAACTTTCAGGTCAACTTTATAGCAAAATATGAAAAAGTACATTAGAAGAAAGAAAAGAGGGCTGATTTATAGTAGTAAGAACAAGAACTGAAAATTTTAAAAGGTATGAATTCAAAATTCTCAGCCAATCTGGATCCCTTAGAAGTATGAGTAAGGAGACCTAGACACTGCTTGACTTCATAATAACAAAATTGAGACACTTAATGAAGTCTATAATTTGTCAAGAAAATTTCTGGTTGGTTATAGTACATAGAAGTAAAACTAAATGCTTTAAAAAAATTATTTATGAGCCTCCCTCGTGGTGCAGTAGTTAAGTCTCAGAGCTATCAAGCTATCGCCAACCACTGCAGCCTGAGTTCAAGAGCTGACCCACATGACCCAGCTGACCTCTGTCTCACCTGCTCCTCCCCTCAGCAGCATATTTCACTAGATTCCCCTGTTCTGCTCCCTACTCTGGTGAGTCCTCTCACCCCTGCACCTCTGGTCTGCACTCCATTCTTGTACACATAGATAAATAAATCTCTTTTTTTAAAAGATTTATTTATTTTATGAATACAAGAGCTGGGGTACAGGCCAGAGATGCGGGAGGTGAGAGGATCCACCAGAGACAGAGTGGGGAACAGAATAGGCAGACTGACTGAAACACACTTCTGCGGGGAGCAGCAGGCAAGACAGGAGAGGTCTGTGCTGCCATGTGGGATTCCCCCTGGCTGGCCGGGGATCAAACTCATGCTGTAAAGGCTGCAAACTGCTTTATAGCGCGGTGCTTAACCCTTTATGCCACCAGGGAGTCCCAATAAATAAATCTTTAAAAAAAATTATTTCTATCAAAATAGCTAAAATCATTTAGCATTTAAAGGATAAGCTTCAGGGCCTCCCCTGGTGGCACAGTGGTTAAGTGCTGGGCTGCAAAGCTGCCCGCAGCCTCTGCAGCACTGGTCCGACACCCAGCCGCCAGCAAGGGTCCCACATGGTGCGCAGACCTTTCCTGCCGCCCGCTGCTCCCCTCAGCAGTGTACTTCGTCAGTCTGCCTGTTCTGTTCCCCACTCTGGCTCTGGTGAATTCTCTCACCCTCCCGTGCTTCTGACTGTACCCAGTGCTTGTATAAATAAACAAATAAATCTTAAAAAAATAAAGGATAATTTTCAGTTTTATAACATCTCATTTCCCGTATTCAACAATATTCCCATATTCAACAATAGTTCAAAATAAAACTATTTTCCTCAACTGTAAAATGATACTCTCTAGGCTCAGTAATTATCCAAAAAGTCAAAGAAGAAAATGCTTGCTCTCCTGTGCTTATGTTCATTTCATGTGACAAATGAAAGAACATAGGCTCTTTTGAAAATGTCATAAATGAACAATCCATCTTTTATCATAATTCAACTTGTCCTGAAAAAAATCTCTCTAAACAACCTCAATTAAAAGTTTCACATTGGGACTATACACTGTATTTAACTGCAATCATCCCACTTACTCCGTCATTATATAAATAAGGGTGGAAAGATGGCGCTGCAGTCTCTTTTGAAATGCCTCATAACTGAGGCCTAATGATACTGATGACAAGTTCAAAAAAAAACAGCTAATACCGTTAATCAACTACATCAAAAAATATGAAACAGTGACTTCAACTCTTCAAAATCAATTTACCAGTTTGCTGCGGGGTGAGGGTAGCGGAAGATGTTAATCACTATTATGGATCTGAATATTAAATTTGAACTAACTAGGTGCCCATTAATTTTTCTCCAACCCAAATCACTTGGTAACTATTCTGGGCGGGAAAAAAAGGATTACTTTGGACTGCTTAAAATAAGTAAAAACAAATTAGTATATCTGCTACATGATAGACATTAAGAAGTAGGAAGAGTAAGTATATCTGAATAAAATGGTGAAGGGGTCCAAAATAGTCACTGTGGCATAAAAACTATTTTGTGCTAAAGGCATTTGAGATCAACAGACTCAGGAAAAACTGTTTTTAATCCCCCTAAACTCCTTACATCTGTCCAAAAACAAAGACTCCAAAAAGAAGTCAACTGTCATAAATCCCTTTCCCAAGGGTTTCACAACCAGGAAAGATGGACGGACACCCATCATGGAAGAAGTCAGCACCCAAGATAAAATCCACCTACACAGACATTATTACAGAGCTAGCCAATCTCTCACCTATCTCCTAAGAGCCCATTTATCTTTCCTAAAAGAATTTGTTTTCCCATAAGTGTGCTTTTTCCCCCTTTTCCTTCCCCTGTTATGATGGTATACAGGCTCCAACGTCTAACAGTCTTTTTGAGTCATATTCTTCACATTTCCATGTACAAACATGAATAAAAATCTGTCTTTTCTCTTGATTATCTCTCTGGTGTCAGTTTAATTCACATCCTCCAAACTCTTAATCTAAAAGAACTACGGAAAATTTTTCCTCCCAACAATGGAAGCCAAAGTCCTTCATAAGGAAATATCTCTAGAAGTACCAACTGGCTCTGCCAGCTCTTATCTCTTTCTGATGAACTTAGGTAAATAATTCAGTAAAGGTTTACAGAATTAGGAGCCAAAGTGAAATTTACCACTCTGGCAAGAAGCTGTCCTAAAAATATATTAGTACTGTGTTTCTGTTCAAAAAGCACTTATAATTTTTTTTTTCATTTTTATTTTTTTTTAATTTTTTTTAAAGAATAAATTTTATTTTTATATTCCCCCATACAATTGCAACCCCCCATTCAGACCCCAATCCCTCCCTCCCGCCCCCCACCCCCAAAAAGTATCTCTGGTTCATAGTTGTTGATTTTGATTTTCACTTTCTTATAGTTATTCATTTTCCTGGTCCCTTATTTAAGTTTTCTAGATTCCTGCTATGAGTGAGACCATCCGGTATTTTTCTTTTTCTTTTTGGCTTATTTCGCTGAGCATGATCCCTTCCAGCGCCATCCATGTTGCTGCAAATTGCATGTGTTTATCTTTTTTGAATGCTGCGTAATATTCCATGGTATACATGTACCACATCTTCTTGATCCAGTCATCTATTTTTGGGCATTTGGGTTGTTTCCAAAGCTTAGCTATTGTAAATAGTGCTGCTATAAACATAGGGGTGCAGGTGTTCTTTGGAATTGATGTTTCTGTGTCCTTTGGGTAAATACCTGGGAGTGGAATTGCTGGGTCATATGGAAGCTCTATGTTTAGTAGGTCCAGAAATCTCCACACAGCTCTCCATAGTGGTTGGACCAGTTTGCACTCCCACCAACAGTGCAGAAGAGTTCCTTTTTCTCCACACCCTCGCCAACATTTGTTGTTGCTAGTTTTTTTAATATGTGCCATTCTCACTGGTGTGAGATGGTATCTCATGGTAGTTTTGATTTGCATTTCCCTGATTACAAGTGATGTTGAACATTTTTTCATATGCCTGTTGGCCATTTGCATTTCCTCTTCAGAGAAGTTTCTTTTTAGCTCTTCTGCCCATTTTTTGACTGGATTATTTTCTTTGTTGTTGCTGAGTCTCATCAGCTCTTTGCAGATTTTTGTGATCAGTCCTTTATCATTAGTGTTGGGTGCAAAAATGTTCTCCCAGTTGGTGGGGTTTCTCTTTGTTTTTGTTATTGTCTCTTTTGCTGTGCAGAAGCTCTTTAATTTGATGTAGTCCCAGCTGTTTATCTTTGTCTTCACTATCACTGCTTTGGGTGATGTGTCTGTAAAGATGTCTTTGATGTGCAAATCACGTAGTGTTTCACCTATATTTCCTTCTATGTATTTTATGGTTTCAGGTCTTATGTCTAGTTCTTTAATCCATTTTGAGTTGATTTTTGTGTATGGTGTGAGGTAGTGGTCAAGCTTCATTCTTTTGCATGTAGCGACCCAGTTTTCCCAGCACCATTTATTGAACAAACTTTCTTTGCTCCAATGCATAGTCTTTGCTCCTTTGTCAAAGATTAGTTGACCATAAATCTGTGGGTTTATTTCTGGATTTTCTATTCGATTCCATTGGTTTGTATGTCTGTTCTTGTTCCAATACCATGCAGTTTTGATGATTATGGCTTTGTAGTATAGTTTGAAGTCTGGGAGTGTGATGCCTCCATTCCCTTCTTTTTTTTTCAGGAGAGCTTTGGCTATTCGGGGTTTTTTGTGATTCCATATGAATTTCATCAATAATTGGTCTATTTCTTTGAAGAATGACATTGAAATTTTGATTGGAATAGCATTGCATCTGTATATTGCTTTTGGTAGGATGGCCATTTTAATAATGTTTATTCTTCCAATCCATGAGCAGGGGATGTCTTTCCATTTCTTTGTGTCTTCTTCTATTTCTTTTAACAGTGTTTTACAGTTTTCTTTGTATAGGTCCTTTACCTCTTTTGTTAGATTCCCAAATATTTTTTTTTTTGTTTCGATAATAAAAGGGATGGTTTTTTTTTTTCTTCTTCAGATTTATTGTTTGTGTATAGGAAGGCTACTGACTTTTGCGTGTTGATTTTGTATCCTGCCACTTTACTGAACTGACTGATGAGTTGAATTAGTTTTTCTATGGAGTTTTTGGGGTTCTCTATGTATATTATCATGTCATCTGCAAATAGCGATAGTTTGACTTCTTCTTTTCCTATTTGGATTCCTTGTATGTCTTTCTCTTGTCTTATTGCTCTGGCTAGGACTTCCAGTATTATATTGAAAAAAAAGCACTTATAATTTTAAGATCTTGAATCCCAGTGCAAAGAAAAAAACTAGGAAGATAATTGTTCTTTCTGGTTTGATATTAGTCTTCACAAATTCAAATATTTTTATATTTTACATATTCTTCTCCATGGCATTGTAAGAGTTCTATCATTTTAGATAGGTGACTTAACTCACAAAGAACAATCCCTTTATAAATGTGATAGCAATGTTACTGCTTATGAATCAATAGCTGTCTTCGATACTCTTGGGATTCCACAAATGCGTCAGCATTAAATTGGTAAGCATACATTTATGGTCTAAAAATCAAAGGCTTTCACCTGTACTTTTTAAAAAAAAAGTATGCCATATTCTACTGGGAAGCAATTAAAACCTTACCTCCAGGGATCTAACCGTAGCTTGCATCTCAGCCAACTGCCGCACCTGAATTCTTTGGACATTTTCTACCTGAGCACCAGAATTCTCTTTTTCAGCCCTTAATTCTGCTACTTCAGTCTCTAAGCCTTTTAATTTCTGACACAAATGGGCTTTTTCTCGAACAAGTTGCTCCATTCGTTTGCTGTCTCTTGTGGAATCAATACTAAGGAGCTGGTTATGTAGTTCTTCTTTATCTTTTTCCAGTCTTGCAACCTGGTTTTAAACAAAGCACACAATTTTAAATTACTTAATTTTCAGTCATGAACATGCTTTACAAGTGAATAAATTAAAAAGTATACAATATGAAAAAGAAGCTCAGGTGGTGGGAAAACACACAAAGAAAATATATCTGAAATGTTAACATTCCTCATGTGGAGGGCAAAGGACCTGTCCTACTTTCCCTCTATCTCCCCATGATGTCTAGCACAGGACTAACTCAGTTGCTGAAAAATTAAAAATCATAAATAATATTACAGAAATAATTACTTTCAAAAGATGACAAGTATTTTAAAATTCTTCAGAACTTTATAGGGGTTCATGCCAGATCAATATGCTGACTCCTGCTGAGTTTTTCTCACATGACAGTAATTTTTAGGCTACGTCTATAGTAATAAAGCTATCTACTTCAAGGCAACTTAATTCACAAAAAAAGCTACTTGTCTGTATAAATAACTATAAATGTGATTGATGAGAAAGGTTTTACTAAAACTTTAGCTCTAATTACGACCTAATTCTTAATTCTTAGATTCAAGGAAAAACTGACAACCATTTACTCCAGGACACATACAGAAAAATCAATGGGAAACTTGTAGTACAGAAAGACCAGTGGTCTTCTCATTCCTACTAACCATGAAACTGGTTTACTTTCAAAGGGCTTCCTAACCTCTGAGGCACTTCACAGGTCTTTCATCTCTGCAACTGAGTGGGCAAAGTAATCAAAATAAAACTCTTTCCCTTTCTTGATCTCCCCAATTATCCTCTACCACCACCATCACCAAATCTTTGTTATTAACCAGAATAGCTCCCACTCTTTGTCTCCTTTTTAAGATGAAATTTTTTCAGATGATTCAATTTAATTAAGGAGTTCAGCTATTTAAAAAGAAAAATGATTTAAACAACAGCAGGGGTGTTGGTAGCCAGGGCAAATGTAGAAGGCTCACACTAAGCCAAAATAACCCAAAGCAATGCTCTGCAACCTAGCAAAAGTGGCCCAAGCACCCACTGATTGTTCACATTGTTATGAATGAATCTAAGAAGTGTTAAGACTTCCACCTCAAGGCAGAATCTGTTTTCCTCATCTATAAAATGAGGTTACACTGGAGACTGGTTTTTCCAGTTTTAACATGTATTTGCTTCCAATTTGGAATTAAAGATGGCAATATAGTTAGAGCTATGCAGTGGGCAAATACTTTTTTTTTCCAGAAAATAAAATTTATCCAAGGAAGCAGCTGAAGAATTCAGAGTTTAGCTGAAGAATTCAAAAGCCCAATTAGTGAGTGTCTGTACTATTTTTCCTCCCACCCTTTACATATAAACATTATTCCCACAGTTTGGTCACTACCTCTTTTTCTTTCATGTTCTCTTCCCTTCAGCTACTTGTGTGACTCTGTGCAAGATACTGTTTCACTTTGGACTCAGTTAAAATGAAGGGTTTGGGCTGAATGACCTTTCGGATACGAAGCAGCTCTTGCACAGTAACTCAATACAGTTTTGATGTGCTATACGGGAGGTCTAACAGTTCATCTAGATCAGGATTTTAACTCGGGTTTAGGCAAGAGTGTTCTGAGTACTTACTATGGATCAAAAGCTGAATAAGTGTAGTATACATAAAATTGCATTTTGTGACAATTTCTCCATATAGCCTTCATTTTACATAGGTGCAGACAGGTAATATTCTTAAGGAACATGTTTCCTACATTTTGGAAGTTATGGGATTAACCTAACTAATAATGGCAGGAGTAGAACTCACAATCATAATCCCTAATCAGATCAAATCAGTCTTATGAAAATTAGCCTTCTCATTTCTCTGTTCATGTAAACATTTATTGAATATAATGTAACTGGCACTGTTCTGGGTAGTAAAAATACATTAGAAAACCTAGCAGACAAGCAAATAATCATGAAACCTGTGTTAGGAAGCTTATATTCAGTCACTGCCAAGACACCACTCATGTACCAGTTATCTGGGCACAGACCTTGGACATATTTCCTTCCACTCTTGATCAGAATCACGTCATTTTCCTTGATATACTCAATTTGGTGTGCTCTCAATCCTCTCTAAATTTCCAAAAGGTTTTGTTTGAATTTCTCTTTTGTGACATTTATCCAAATCTGTCTGCAGTTACAATTACATTTACTTTATTCTCTTCTAGAACATAAATTTACTTGACAGGAAATATGATACACTAACCAATTTTACTTTTTAAAAAATTGCTGAAGGATACTGAAGAAACACATCAAGGGCTAGGAAGAGTTGCTGATCTTTTCAAAGGATTGTAGTACCAAGGCACACAAAAAGAAAAGAAAGTACAGTTGCTGCTCAGTAATCAAGGGGGATTATTTTTAGGACCCAGTCAGATACTAAATTTCATGGCTTAAGTCACTTATATAAAATGGCACAGTATTTACATATAACTTACCCACATCTTTTCATATACTTTAAATCTGGTTGTTTATTTTTGAGTTTGAGCTTTTTGTATATTTGACTAACAGCACTTCATATTTTTACAAATATTTTCTCCTACTCTTAAATTCCTGTCTTGATAATGTCATTCATAGATCAAAATAATTTGAATAAAGACTAGCTTATCAATTATTTCTTTCATAGATCTCGCCTTTGGTAGTCTATCTATAAAGGTATCACTGAATCCAGGATTATCTAGGTTTTTCACTATATGCTTTACATTTAGATGTATTAACTGTTATGAGTTAACACATTTGTTGTGTGTGTGTGTAGAACTGGGGTGTAAGTCAGAGGCTGGGTGGTGAGTATTCACCATAGACTGAGTGGGGAGCAGAACAGGCAAATTTACTGAAATACACTGCTAAGGGGATTAGCAGGAGACAGGAGAGGCCTGCTGCACCATATATGGGTTAGTTCCCTGGCAGGGGATCGAATTTGGGCTGCAGCAGTGACAACACTGAGATTGAACCACTAGGCCACCAGGAAGACCCCTATGAGCTAATAAATTTGAAGAGTATATAGTCTATGTTTAGATTCATTTTTTTCTTCTTGCATGTGCACGTCTAGTTGTTTTAGCAGCATTTATTGAAAAGGCTATTTGTCTCCATTGATTCCCTTTCTCTATTAAAGATCTGTTTACTATAATCAGGAGGGTCTATTTCTAGATTCTCTGGTCTGTTATTTGATCTAGAGATTTGTTTGCCCAAAGCATAGTCTTGCTTACCATAGTTGTACAGTTAAGTCTTGAAGTCAGTAATATCATCTTTCAACTTTGTCCTTAATATTACGTTGGCTATTCCAGAGCTTTTGCCTCTCTATATAAACTTTGGCATCAGTTTGTTGACATCCACACAATAACTTATTTTTTTTTTTAAGATTTATTTATGAATACATGAGCTGGGGTACAGGCCAGAGATGTGGGGGTGCGGGGTGGTGGTGAGAGGACTCACCAGAGACAGAGTGAGGAACAGAACAGGCAGACTGACTGAAATACACTGCTGAGGGAAGCAGCAGGGGAGAGAGGAGAGGTCTGCTTCACCATGTGGGTTGCTCCCTAGCTAGCCAGGGATTGAACTCGTGCTGTAGAGGCTGTGATTGCTTCATAGCAGTGCAGTGCTCAACCCCTTGCGCCACCAGGGAGGCCAATATGCCAAGTTTTGATCAGCATTAAACTAAATCTGTAGGTCAAGCTGAGAAGGAAAAAAGATATCTGGACAACACTGAGTCCTCCTAGTCATGAATATAGACTACCTCTCCATTATTTAGTTTTTATTTGATGTAATCCATCAGTTTTATAGTTTTCTCATATAAATCTTGTACTTTTTTTAAGTACTTAATTTTGAAGAATACTAAAATTTTACTGTATTTTATTTCAACTTCCACTTGTTCATGATGGCTATGTAAGAATTATTATTAATCTTGAGACCTGAAATTTTTCAATAACCATTTTAGTTCGAAGACATTTTTGCTGATTGCTTCAGATTTTCCACAGAGTCAGACAAGTATTGTGAGCAAACACAGCCTTTTCCTTCCTTCTAAAGTTGCAGGTCTTTCATTTTTCTTTCCTAATCCATTAGCTAAGGTTTCTAGTACAGTGTTGAAAAGGAGTGTAAGTAGGGACATCACTGCCTTGTCCCTGAACTCAGCAGTAAAACTTCTAGTTTCTCACCATTAGGTATGATCTAGCTGTAATTTTTTTTAGAGATTTATAAAGTTGAGATAGTTCCCCTTTAGTCCTCATTTGCTGAGAATTTTTATCATGAATGGATGTGGTTGCTGAATCATTTTTCTTCATCTAAGATCATGCAGTTTTTTTTTCTTGGCCTGCTGATATAATGCATTACATATTAATTCATTTTCCAATGTTGAACCAGCCTTGTTTGTGGTATACTATTCTTCTTATTCATTGTTGGATTTAATTTATTAGCATTTTGTCAAGGATCTTGCAGCTTTTACATGAAAGATATTGGTCTACAGTATTTTCTTTTAGTGCTTTGTTTGGTTTTGGAATAGGCTAACTGTGGTCTCACAAAATATTTTATCTTCTCATTCTATCTTTTTGATAGGACTATAAATACTTGGTATATTCTTCCTTAAATGTCCAGTAGCACCCATATGGTCTATCCAGTCATTTCTGACTGGATTATTAGACCATGTGAATTGTTTTTTGTATTCCTTTACATACTTTTAAATCTTCTAACATGCAGCTAAATTGCTTAGAAATAGTCTGAACCTTTAACATTTAGACTAAGAGAACATTTTTAGACTAAGAGAACAGGGATAATAAAATATATACCTTTTTCATGCACAGAGAGTTACCTTGGTCTTGGGTTGTTAAAAAAAAAAAAAAAAAACAATAAACCCAACTGTGATAAAAATCCAGGGCAGAAAGCACCTGAAAGCTGAAAGTGAGATGAAGCTACCAGCACTGTAATGAGAAATGCCCCAAACTATTTATAGTATCACAGTGTACTGGCACTGAACACTTTAATACACTAATGTAAAGGACATGATCATATACTCAAGAAATTTCAGGATGTGGAATTCTAAATAATGGTAACAGCATTTGTTGAATATTTATTATGTACTAGGTACTTTCTAAACATTTTACTGTATTGTTATTACGTTTTTTCACAACAACCTCATGAGATAGGTACTATTGTATATTGTATTGTATTGTATTGTACCTATCTTGTACCAGAGAATTCTCACTGTGAGGTAATTTTAGTAAGATTTCTACCTACTGTGATATGGTTCGTAGTAATGTAACAAAGGCACAAGTTAGAGAATCTTCAATGTTTTAGATAAAGGAATAATCTGGCCCTAAAACAGTATTCCAGACTACCTTTCAGAACCTACCAGGACAAAAAAGGAAGGGTTTTCAGAGGCTTCATGAAATATACTGACATTTGTGTTGGCACAAGGACCAAAAACTAGGAACATATAAGTTTTGTGCTACCATGGTATAAGGAAAAAAACAGCATGTGACAACAGGGACCAGAAAGATCTCTTCTTATCCTCTTTTGTGCCATAGGAACTTTGGCTTCTCACCTGTCCTATAAAACCAAGTTAAAGTTCAGTCACTTTGGAGAATTTGATGGAACAATTTTAGTGACTTGTCATGATGTATTGGCACTCTGACAGGTTTTCATATGATGCAGTACCTACTGCCCTGTTCTTAAGATCTTATTACTTTCCAAGCGAATTACTTTTGCTCCTTTTACTCATACAGTCTACCTGTATAAACGCCTGTACGTAAAATCCTCTATATTGCTCTTCACTACCTTATGCAAAATAATGAAACCAGAGTTGTAGTAACATGTTGAAAACACAACAGTACCACTTTGAATACAACTCTATGAGCAACTTCAGAATTTCATCTGTATGAAGTTCCAGATTTAACATGTTCTTACAGGCAAATGCATTGAGAAATTAAATCACAATATTTCTCTTAAGATAAAGATGACTTCTTCCATATGTATTTTAAATTCAGAATATCAAGAAGGATATGTGAATTCCTGGAGTACTTCTCAGGAAAACAGTAACATCTTCCTGTATTATGTAAAGAACCACCTACACTAAAGAATATTCTATTTTAATCTGTATATACAAAGGTGTAAAAGTTTAAAGGAGTCCTTAACTAATGCAAGAAAACCCAATTATTTTTGTTACATCACATTGTATTACTTTAAAATTGTAAAATTGAAAGATGGTTAAAGTGAGCTTTACTTTGAAGTTTTATCACTATTTGTGATCTGCAATCATCTAAGTTTTAGTGTGATTGTACATGGAAACTAGAATATACAGTAATGAAATAAAAGCAAACATCCAGTTACCCACTTATTAACATTACTCCTGGACCTTCCCTGGTGGCGCAGCGGTTGAGCGCTGGGCTGCGAAGCTGCCCGCAGCCTCTGTAGTGCTGTTTCGATCCCCTGCCACCAGGCGAGGGTCCCAGATGGCGCGCAGACCTCTCCTGCCCACCCGCTGTTCCCCTCAGCAGTGTATTTCGTCTGTCTGCCTGTTCTGTTTCCCGCTCTGGCTCTGGTGAATCCTCTCACCCTCCCGTGCTTCTGACTGTACCCACAGCTTGTATAAATAAATAAATAAATCTTTAAAAAAAAAAAAAACCACAAAAACATTGCTCCTGTATAATCAACTGGGAAATAAAAAGAAAGCAACTTCAATCTTATCAGAAAGTTTTACTTTTTAGCCTCTACTAATTATGGCTTCCTAGAATTTCTAGGAAAGTATCAGATAAATTATGAAAATTAACAATGCCTCTGACTCCCTGAAAATTTTAATGAATATCATTTGGTCTTTTATGGGTGAAAAATTAAGTCATCAGATTTCAGATGGTTTCATTAAAAAAAAAAGCAAAGAAACTGGAGACTATAAATAATCATTAACAGATAAACACATCATTAGACTTTAATAGCAAAGTATAAAATAAAGCACCATTATCCTTAACCTTGGAGGATACTCTTTAATAAGCCAAATCTACATTTTTTTTTCAAATCTACATTTTAATCCGGTGATGTTCATTATCTCAAATTTCCACAAGAAATTTTTCATGACTTTCTGTGAGACTTAAGGCAAATCACTTATCTTGTACTTTAGAGCTCTCATTTAAGTGAGGAAATCAGTCCTGCCCCATCTCACTGATCATTGCAACAGAAGATCATATATAACTTAAGCAGTTCAAGTTGTAGAGAATTTGATTTGATTATAAATATTTGTACCTTTCTGGTACTGTATTATTTTTTTTTTTTTAAATTTATTTATTTATTTGCTTGTTTGCTTGTTTGTTTGTTTGTTTGTTTGTTTGTTTATACAAGCACTGGGTACAGTCAGAAGCACGGGATGATGAGAGAATTCACCAGAGCCAGAGCGGGGAGCAGAGCAGGCAGAAGGACAGAAGTACACTGCTGAGGGGAGCAGCGGGCGGCAGGAGAGGTCTGCGCACCATGTGGGACCCTCCTCTGGTGGCTGGGGAGCAGCCGGGGATCGAACCAGCACTGCAGAGGCTTCGGGCAGCTTCGCAACCCAGCGCTCAACCGCTGCGCCACTGGGAAGGCCCCTGGTACTGTATTATTAACACGATCAAATGATCCAAAGCTCATACAGCTTCTTAGGTATTAAATCATGGAACAGTTTGCTCACTGATAAGAATAAATCAGTTTGACTCAATTAGTAATTGGTAAAGGAAAGTAAGTATTTTAATTCTGAATTCCAAATGACAACAATGCAGTAAGTATAATGCAAATGTGTTTCTACCCAGAATCTCCCACATTAACTACAGGCATCAAGCTATGTTTTATAAATTCAACTCTTTATTAAATACAGTAAAGTAAAATTGGTATTTGTCTTTCCACTGTGAAAAACCATCCAAGAGCAACATAATGAGCGAGAAATACATACCCTGTTTCTGGAAAATCTAGAAGACAAGCCACAAAACAGACTACCAAAAGCAGCAGAGATGGAATAGGAATGCATGCCGTAGCAGCAGAGAAAGTTGCAGGTGTAGACATAGAACAAAGTACACCTTTTTGAAGGTGACAGGCATACCCTCAGTATAAACCCCTTGTTTATATCAGTGGAAACAAGTTACATGGGCTGACAGCCAAAGCTCTCCTGGATATGGTTTGGTTCCAAGGGGACGTGCTAAAAGGAATCAAAGTGTATTTGCAAAGATTTGCCTGTTTCTGTGGCTATCAAAAAAAAAAAAAGACATAGCTATCTCTATTCACCAGGATAAAAGAACAGCTAAAATAGAACATTCCCCCCAAAAAAAACTGCTATAGAGATAAAAATCATGACAAAAACTTTTCCATTAATAAAAACTATGTAATCAGCACCAATGGGATTTACAAAAAAAATACAATCAAATTTTTTATCAATTAGTTGGATAATGACTAAATTAGTATAATTATTACTCACCTCTGATTCATATTTTATTTTTTCTTCTTCTAAAATACATGCAAATTCTTTTTTCTGGTGTTCAAATTCTGACTTAAGAAATGTATTTTCATAACGAAGCTTATTATATTCAGCTCTATACTTTTCCACTTCCTAAATTAAAAGAACGAAAATTTATCATAAACATATAAATGAAATGTATTTGCACTCCAAAAATCACTTTTGCAAATATAGTTTTAAACTGCATTATATTGAGAGACATTCTAAAAGTAAAAAATAAATTTAACATAAGCATAAAGTTCTCATGACAAGTATTCTACATATTCCTGAGGAAGTACCTATAACACAAATTACCATTCAATTAGCCTTATTTCCTCAATGATTCATAATAAACATGTAAAAATATTTTTACCTCTGGGCTTAATAAAATTCTTAAGAATGTAGGATGTCTTTCAAAATAGATTGAAAAATTAGTTTTATAATAAAATATAAAATACCACCCTAAAAATCAGAGTTTGAATTCAAAATAGATAAATTATTTGAACATTTAGTATAGCAACTTAGGGTCAACCAAACATTATAGTGATATCCAACACACTAATTTAAAGAATATATGTTGTATCAACTCTTCTGACTACACAGGAACACATGCAATTCCCTTCTATGTTCCAATCCTGCTCCCTAACACTATGAGAGCTGCTGCCATTCTGGATCTCAATAAAAACTAAGACAGAAAGAGCAGAAAGATGCAGATGACACTATTCAACATGTATCAGGAAATTAAGTAACAAAGAAAAGATGCCTCTTGAAATACTGAGACCACTGTAAATATTGAGTAAAAAGATTTCTCTTCTAAACCTGTTTAGATGGCTTTCATAATTCTATTAGTGACATACAGTTATTCATTGCTTAATATTTCAATCAACTGTTACATATGAACCGACTGCATATGATAGTGGACCCATTATATTATAGCATAGGTGTATAGCAGGTTATTCCACCTAGTTTGTGTAATTTAGACTCTACAACAGTCACACACAAAATCACCCACAATGCCTATCTTAGAATATATCCCCATCATTCAGCAATACATGACTGTACTTAGTTCTTTAAATGCTTTTACTTTGATCATCTAAAGATTAAGTGATTTTGTTTATATCCAAAAATTAAATCTATTCCCAAACCATATGCTTTGGTTATCCACCAAGAGGATATTCAAAAGATGACTTTGTCAAGCCAGTAAGTCATTTATAAATTACTATTTATAATAAAACCTCATTATAATGGAGGATTCCACAACCTGGCTTGTGCAATGGCAGCATCACTAGACTACAGATTTCCCAAGGGGCACATTTTGAATAGAGTACTCATTTGTATGTGTAAGGTTCAGGATATTTGTTAAAGTAACACATAAAATGTGTAGCACAATACATAATACATTTAATATCTGTTATCTTTTTCCTGTACCCTTTTACTAAACATTTAGTCAATTATACCAAATTTTCATATAAGGAAACATCCCAGTCTAAAGGAAAACTTAAATTTTTACTTTTCTGGGGTTGTATTAAATTCTTTCCTCCAACAAATAATAATTGAGTACCTATTATATGCTAGGAACTGTTCCAGGAACTTGAAATGTAACAGTAAACAAAAGAGATAAAGGTTCCTCCTCTTGTGCAACCTACATTCTAGATAGTAAAAGAAAATAAAAAATAAGCACAGTAAATTATTATATAGCATATTAGAAGAAAACATACTAGAGAGAAAAAGTATAGCAGGGTAACTCAGGAGTCAAAGGTCTAAGGAGTGATAAGAAAAGCAAACTGCTTTATTAAATGGGGACAAAGGTGGGTTAAAGTAGGCCTCATTGAAAAGGTGAGAATTCAGCAAACACTTAAAAGATGAGAAATTCACCAAGAAATATCTAGAGTGCTCAGAGCAGAAGCAGCTGCTAGAGCAAAGAGTCTTGAATGGTACCATTTCATTTCTAGAATGCCAAAGAAACTTCAAGGTCAGTGACTATGGAGGGAAGAAGGTCAGAGAGGGAATGGAATCTGATCTTATGAAACCTTAAAGGCCACTGTAAGGACTCTGGGGAAAAAAAAAAAAAAAAAGGAGAAATAGCATGGTTTCTGAGAAGGGGAATGATGCTTTTCCTCAGACCTTTCAAAATCATATAGAGATAAAAACATAGTTGCTACTATATAAATTATAAATTACTTACTTCATCCAGATTTCTAAAATGCTCTCTCATTGGAGCTTCTAATTCTTTTTGTATCTGAACTCTTAATGATTCCAGTTTTTGTGGCGTTAATACCTAAATATGTAGAGAAAAACAATCTTAAATAGGAAATTACAAATATTAAAATCAAGAAGTCATCAAATTTCAGAGCTTCTCTCCCAAGTTTGACAATGTAATCCAATTCATGGAAATTTTCACAATATATCTAATTTTATAATAATCGTTACACAAATAAACCCATCATAAAATAACTTTAAAATGTCAATTTCAGGTCCTTAGATATATCAAAATTTTGTTAACACGAGGTAAAAACAATCGCTATTATTGCTAGGCGGTAAGAACACAGGCAGCTAAAATTATCTTGGAAACAATGGCCAGTAGTTTATTTTCTAAAACAAGCAAAATAAAGGTAAAATAATTTGGTATGCCAGAGAGAATTCTTTAGACTTATTTTCAATCTGGAAAGGATGACTGTTACTCTGACCACCAACCAAACCTTATTTTGATTCCTTCCTGTTACATTCTCTCACAGAACTCATATTTCAGGATGTAGTTAATATTGATTTAAGCTCCTTAAGGGAACTCAGAGTTAGTCTTTATTTACCATGGTATTCCCAACATCTCACACTAATGTCTGGCACACAGGGAACCACTCAAACACTTCTTGAATCAGTGAAAAATGTTTGTTAAAAAATGTCTAGTTGTACTTACATTAATCCCTGTAATTAAAAATAATGTTCAGTTAAATTCATTCATCTATATTCCAAATAGCCTAAAATATTTCACTGAATCAATGCCTATACAATATATAAAACACTGTTGCAACACACTATTATCTACAAACATGCTGCTCTAAACACCTAACATACATTAACTTATTGATCCCCTACAACAACCCACAGTGCAGATGCATCATCATCCCTCTTTTACAGAAATTGAAGTATGGCAGGTGCTATTTGGAGGTTAAATGAATATAGGAAAACACCACTAATATCAATTTGAAATGTGTAGTAAGTTTTACAGTGCTAAATTTTAACTGTACGTAAGTGAAAAACACTGAAAAAATATCTAAAAAACTGTATTTGGTCCTTCAGTACCAACTTTTGCTTGAGAAATTCCATATACCTTGTATTTTGCCTTAAATTATGTACACATACTGCTTTTACAGGTTTTTAAGTATAACCTTAAAAATAACTTTTTCACTTCAGCTTCAGTTACAACACTTAAAGGAGTATTAATAAGCCTTTCCTTTAAATATATTATCTCTTATATAAATTAAAACAGAACTTCCCCAAGTTATTCTTAATACTGAAATATTTAAATCAGAATAGGTAATACAGAAGCAACTGACTTAAATAATTACATGGCTAAACCCTACCAGGTAGCTAACATTCTAGAATATCTACCTTTATACTTAGTCAAGTATATTTTCTTACCTGCAACTTCATTTCTTCTAAGTCTTTAGTTTTCTCTACTAATTCCCCTCTTAATTCTTCAAGCAGCAGCTGAAATTTTTCCTGGTTAGTTTGCTTTTCATTTAATAGGTGCTTGAGTTCATTCTGTGATTTTATGTACTCATCCTGCAACCTGTTTTTTAAAAAATTCAATTTTTTTGCTTTCTAATTGCAATACTTTATATAGTCGAACACTTTACAACAAGACAAATATATATTCCATTAAACTTGCAATTATCTTTACAGTTTAATTTTATTAATACTTTTGTTTCTGAATGCAATTTTATAAAAATCACATTTAGCCACCAAAATACTTTTAATTTTATATGGCTAGTTACTTTAAAAAAAACTTTTTAAACTCACAATCTACTTGATATCATGCTTAGTTTGTATAAGGTAGTTTTAAAGCAAAAATTTTACTATCATTAAAAGTTTCAAATGTGGGACCTCCCCAGTGGCACAGTGGGTTGAGTGTAGTGCTGTGGAGCTGTCTGCAGCCTCTGCAGCGCAGTTCAACTCCCCGCGGCAGACCTCTCCTGTCTCACCCATTGCTCCCCTCAGCGGTGCTTTTGGTCTGTCTGCCTGTTCTGTTCCCCATTCTGTCTCTGGTGAATCCTCTCACCCCCCTGCGCCTCTGGCCTGTACCCCAGCTCTTGTATATATAAATCTTTTTAAAAAAAATTTCAAATGTATGCACAACAAAATTATACTGTTATGTTCCAGAGGAAATACTCAGGTAATTTTTTAATCAAGTCCCTAATGTCCAAATTTAAGCAACTTACCTTGTGTGTTCAGCTTTCAGAGTCTGATAATTAGTTTTATGATGTTCACATCGTAACCTTTCATCAATTAACATTTTTTGGAGCTCAGATTGAGAGTTTGTCAGCCCACTGTCTCCACCCGGCGGAAAATTGGTGGGAAAAGTGTCCATATTGGTAAATGAGCTGACAACCATGTAAAATTAAGTTCTGTTTTTATTATTGTCTTTGTTTTCCTTTCAAGAGTATATTCCACTTCTTTCTTGCTCAGACTCTTAGGAGGCCAAATACCTGCACAGAGAAATATACTTAGTGATCAGTGAGTCCCTTCAGTGTTACAGATTTTTATCACCTATTGTTCTCCTTATCACTTCTATAAAACCCAATTTTCAGATTTTTCATGAAACAAAATTTAAGAATAAAGTTAAATCATATACATTAAATTTTCTTCATGCAAAATTTCTATAGCCATCAAGATCGCATCTTCAAGTATTAGCCTAACGAAAAGTAGAGTTTTCCACTGCAGGAACCACTGGATCCACAAACATTAATCAGGGGAAAAGCCATTTGGAACTTGTAAGTGGCTGGGATAATTCTGGTCTTCACAAAGATAACCTTGAGCAGGTAACTATGTCTGTGATTGATGCCACAAAAGGTCATTTTTTTTGTTTGTTTGTTTTGATACACAGTAAGTTGCATTCAGGCTACAGAGTCAGATGAGACATCAGTCAACACAAATGTTAGATCCTGTGTGTTATAAACTGTGCTAAGAGCAGGAATCTAAATCACTGATATATCCCCGAAAGTGCTGCCCGGGACTATCAAAGTGTTTACTGTGTCTTGAAATAAAACAACAAAATGTCCTTATTGTAAGTAATTAGAAACAGAAATTTTCATCAGAAATGTTCTGTCCCCTTTAACTTTATTAATCTTTCTCAAGACTACTATAAGTGTGTGTGCATTTTCCTAACAGCCTCTCCCTTAGTCACAGCTTATTTCAGATTACCTTTTCTCGCTACAAGTAAATAAATATCGGGCCACCTTGGTAGCGTAAGGGGGTAAGTCTCAGCACTATGAAGCTGCTGGCAGCCACTGCAGCAGTTAGATCCCTGGCCAGGGAGTTTACCCACATAGTGCAGCAGACCTCTCTCTTGCCCGCTGCTCCCCTCAGCAGTGTATTTCAGTGAATCTGCCTGTTCTGCTCCCCACTCTGTCTCTGGTGAATCCTCTAACCAATCCTGCATCTCTAGCCTACACCTCAGCTACTGTATGCATAAATAAATAAATCTTAAAAAAGAAAATATCTTTAGCCTATGCAAAACAACCATTAAATTACTCTTGCTTGGAACACATCATTTCTAATAAATTAGTGTACTATCTTCATAATACTTAAGAAGATTTTTAAATTAAAATTGGGGTTGCTTTGGTTTCCTGCCCAAGTATATTTCAAGAGTGGGGAATCTTCAGAGATACTTCACTCCCGAGTCTTATGTTAAATGTGCACCAAGATTCAACCTTTGCAAATGCAGAGTAGTCTGTAGCTGCTGCCACATGACCCTGCCAAAAATACATATTTGCCATGGGATTAATGAATTGTATCTTAAAACTGGCATGTAATTTTGATTCTGCTCCTTGATCCAAATTACTTTTTAAGAGATAGAAACAGACAATAAATCTATCTCAAACTTTCTAATAATGCCACCAAAATGCATAGTTTTAATTTAATTAAAAAGCTGAAACTACATTAGAAAATCAGTAACTACCTTTAAATCTCACTGCTAGTGAAAAAAATTTCCAAGTTAAAATGAGTACATTTTTAGTCCTATTAAGTTAACAGTAAATATTCTCACTGACTGTACTTTAAAATTGGAGCTAAAAGGCCTCCCCTGGTGGCGCAGAGGTTGAGCGCTGGGCTGCAAAGCTGCCCGCAGCCTCTGCAGCGCCAGTTCAATCCCCGGCCGCTCGCTGGCAAGGGTCTTACATGCCGTGATAGACCTCTCCCGTCGCGCCTGCTGCTCCTCTCAGCAGTGTATTTCAGTCATCTGCCTGTTCTGCTCCCCACTCTGTTGCCGGTGAATCCTCTCACCCTCCTGCGCCTCTGGCCTGTACCCCAGCTCTTGTATAAAAAATAAACCTTTAAAAAAAAATTGACTGCACAAAATATTTTGTGAGGATTTAATATATATAGACTTAAATATATAAATGGGGTATATATAATGGTAATATAAATAGTATATGAATCAGTAGAGATAGAATTACACTGCTTATAAATTATATGGGAAAAAGTTAAAAGTATCAATACTACACTTTGATAAATCAAGGATGCATTTTGTAATCTATAGAAAAGGGGCTGGCAAACAGGTGTCTATGGGCGAAAACTGGCCTACAATCCTTTTTAGTACGGCCCTAACCTAAAAATGTCGTTTAAGAATTTTTTTTTTAATAAATGAACACAGATGCAAAAATCCTGAACAAAATATCAGCAAATCAAATCCAAAATACATAAAGAGTGAACCATGAACAAGTAGGATTTATTCCAGACATGCAAGGCTGATTCCAGATTCAAAAAACAAGTAATGTAATCCAATATATCAGAAGCAGAAAAAGTATTTAATAAAATCCAGCGTCCATTCATGATAATACTCTCAACAAATTCAGTATACAGAGCGACTTCCACCATTTGATTTTAAAAAAAAAAAAGTCTATAGCTAACATCATACTTAAGGATGACAAAATAGAGCTTCCTCATTAAGATCAAGGCAAGTATATGCCCTTCTCACCACTCCTTTCCAACATGATACTGGATGAAGGTTAGCTAAAACAATTAAGACAAGAAAAGGATATAAAAGGCATGTAGTTAGCAAAGAGGAAAACAAATGTCTTTGTGTGCATATGATATAATCATCTATGAAAAAGATTCAAAGGAATCCATTTTTTAAAATACCCTCCTAGAAAGAATTAGCAAACATAACAAGGTTGCAGGATATAGGATTAATATACAAAAGTCACTCTCCTGAATGTAACAAGGTTGAAAACTGAAATTTGACATTTAAAACAATCATAACTTACCTTAACACCTCCCCCAAAATGAAAGGTATACATCTAAGACAATATGTACAAGATTTATGAGGAGAATAATAAAATTCTAATGAAAGAAATCCAAGAAAAAGAACTAAATAAAGAGATAGTTTATGGTCAATATTGCCAAGATACCAATTCTTTACAATTATGATTCACAGGTTCAGTACAATTCCAACAAGTTATTTTGTGGATACTGACAAACTGACTCATTTATACAGAAAGGCAAAAGACCAAGAGAAAATAGCCATACACAATACTAAAGGACAAAGTCATATGACTGACACTATCTGACTTTTTGACTAACTCTAAAGCAAAGGCAATCAAGACAATGTGGTATTGGCAAAAGAACAAATAGAGCAATGAAACAGAATAGAAAGTCCAGATATAGACTAACATAAATATAGTAAACTGAACTTTTACCAAAGGAGCATATGCAAAAATAATGCAAACAAGTGGTTCTAGGCACAGACCTATTGTCCTTCACAAAAATCAGCTCAAAATGGATCACAAAAATGAACTAGCAAACTCCTAGACGACAGCATAGGAGAAAATCTAGATGATCTCTGGTATGGCCATAAATAATGTTTGGCTTCATTAAAATTAAATACTTTCGTTTTACAAATGACCCACTATCAAGAGAATGAAAACAGAAGCCACAGACTGGGAGAAAATACTTGTGAGAAACATACCTGAAAGGACTGCTATTCAAAATATAAAAAGTTCACACTCAACAAATAACCAGATCTTAAAATGCACCAGACCTTAATGGACATCTCACCTAACATACACAAGTAGCAAGTCAGCAAATAAAGATGCTCATCATCATGTACCATTAAGTTGAAATTAGGGCCTCCCTGGTGGCGCAGCGGTTGAGCGCTGGGTTGAGAAGCTGCACACAGCCTCTGCGGTGCCGGTTCGATCCCCAGCTGCTCCCCGGCCTCCGGAGGAGGGTCCCACATGGCGCGCAGACCTCTCCTGCCGCCCGCTGCTCCCCTCAGCAGTGTACTTTGGTCCTTCTGCCTGCTCTGCTCCCCGTTCTGGCTCTGGTGAATTCTCTCACCCTCCCGCGCTTCTGACTGTACCCAGTGCATGTATAAACAAAAACAAACAAATAAATAAAACATGCCTCTATTAAAAAAAAATAAATTAAAAAATAAATAAAATTAAAATTAAAAAAAAAAAAAAGTTGAAATTAAAACAAGATACCACTAAACACCTATTAAAATGGCCCAAACTCAAAATGCTGTCAACACCAAATGCTGGTGAGGATGTAGAACAGGAATTCTAATTCATTACTCTTACCACATAATTCAGCAACCACATGCCTTGGCATTCACCCAAATGAAAACTTACAACCGGATGTCCGCAGCAACTTTTATTCATAAGTGTCAAAATCTGGAAGCCACCAAGATGTCCTTCAGTAAGTAAATATATAAATGGCAGTAGATTGTGACAATATAATATTGTTCAGCATTAAAAAGAAATGAGCTATCAATTCATGAAAATATATAGAGGGACCTTAAATGCCCTATTACTGAGAGAAAACAATCTAAAAAGAATGCATACTGTAGTTTCAACTATACACCCGTGTACCACATAACATCTCAGTCAATGAAGTTATTCTGTTCTTTATAAGGCATTATGCAGTATCTTACGTCTCTACCTATTAGATATAGTAACACCATTCCCTTCAGTTGTGAAAAACAAAGGTCTGTACAAAAACAAAGTAATGTACTCTACGGGAGGCAAAAATCACTCCTGCCCCTCCTGTAAGAACCATGCCCTGGGATGAGCATTTCACCTAAAAAAAGGCAAGTAGGGAGATAAGAAACAAAACTAGTAGGAAGACAGAAACAAGAAGAAAATAAATTTAGACAAATATATTAATAATTCATTAATACAGATTAAATACTTCAAATAGAAATTTCAGGGGGAAAAAAAAAAGCGTAACCCAAGTATATGCCTTTTTATTCAACACTATCCTGAAGATCTGGAAAGGAAAAATAAAACTTTCTATATAGATGTGCTTATCAATTTTTGTGCATTTCCTTTTATTGCTGAATAGTATTCCATTATTTAAACATATCACATTTTGATTATCCATTCTCCTACTGCCTACTGATAGGCACAGCTGGGTTGTTTCTGATTATGAATATTAGTTATAATGAATAAAGCTGCCAAGAACATTGATGTGCAGGATTTATGTGGAC